CTGTGAAAATTTAAGAAAACATTTTTAAAGCATCTTGTAGGAATAGCCCCCCACCCCAGTGGTGGGTGTTGAATAAAAACTTACTAACACTGTGTAAAAAAAGGTTATTATCTGAGGTTTTATACTCTTTCTCTACTGGGGATTGAACCTAGGGACTTTGTACTGACTTACATACCCCAGCACACATTATGTTTTTATTTTGGGACAGGGTCTTCCTATGTCAATGATTTTCCCAGGCTGGGCTTAAACCCATGATCCTACCTCAGCCTCCCAGTGTGCTGGGATTACAGGCATGTATCACCATGACTGGCTAGCTGAGGTTTTAAAATATGTATTTTGTCTGAAAACAAATCAATTATAGCTACCTTCTTAAACTACACATTCTCTCTTGGCGGTTTTGCTTATGTACCTCCTCCCCAGCTGCAACTGTACTAAATCACTTGCTCTTCTCTACATGCCCACCTTCCTCCCTGTCTGTTTTTATTTGTGATACTGCCTTGTTTGGAATAGTTCTCCTACTTTTCTTTACCTATCTGGCTACTTATTTTCCATCATTTATCTTATATGACACCGAAGAGTAAGGCTTCCTTGAACTCCTTTTCTCAGATGGATCCTATGCTCAATAGCCCATACTCATCTCTATCCCTGTGCTGTACTATCCCAGTGCAAGAGCTATTTCAATCACTTGGTATATGAGTAAGGTCAAGATGGAGAGGCCTCCGTACTTGAGGCTAGGGAATAGATGGGTAAGCAGAACTGGGGGGATGTACTCAGGACCAGTTAGAGCTAGCAGATTCAGTTTAGAAACCAACAGCACCCAGTTAAGAAACAACTAAGCTTATAGAGGGCTTCTTAGGTGAGATAATTCTATTTGGCATATGTAGAAACTATGATGCACACAATCCCACTACTCTGGTTTCCAGGTGGTTTGTCCCTGCCAAAATTCATGCTGAAATTTTGTCATCACTACAACAGTTTGGAGGTAGGTCCTTTGGGAAGTGATTGGGTCAAGAAGGCAGTATCCTGATAGATTAACATCTTCGTCCAGACTGGGTTGTTTTATTGAAGTTGGATTACTTCTCTCATAAACAGGTTATAAACCAAGCCTAGCACCAATCCTCATTCTCACACGTGCTCCTCTTCCACTGGCTGTTTCTGCTTTTCTACCCATGAGACGCAGCACTATGTGGCTCTGACTGGATGGTCACCTAATCTCAATTTTTCCAGCCTCCAGAACCATAAACAAAAATATACACTTTTTGGTGGTACTGGGGATTGTATCCAAGGCCTTCACACTAAACTATACTCCAAGCTCTTATTTTAGGCAAGAGTTCACTAAGTCACTACATTGCCCAGGCTGAGGTTGAACCTATAACCCTTCTGCCTCAGCCCCCACAGGATTCTGGGATTACAGGCATGAACCACACCAGGCTTTTTTTCTTCATATATTTCACAGTCTTAGATATTTTTTGTAGCAACACCAAATGGACTAGGACACTCACCCCTAATTACTGGATCATTGAAGAAGACAATTCTTAGCAACGAGTCCTGTGAACTTCCCACTGTGTTCCAGAAAGAGGGAAGACTGAATTTAGGTGCCTTATTCTCCTCCCAAATTTTAGACACCTGCCTCTGATATGCTAGTACTTCCTGTCTGGACTAGGAAGGTGAATGAGACTCTGGCTTATCTTCTAAGCTGAAGCTGGTGACAGTTTTGTCACTTCACAGAGGATGGGAGTTGCTGACAGAACACAGCTGACCAGTCCTGAAAAAAACTCATAAATCCTTGTTTTTTTTAAGGTACTAGGGATTGAACCCAAGGCATCACACGTTAGACACTCTACCACTAAGCTAACTCTCCAATACTTCTTTCAAGACAAGTTCTCACTAAATTACCCAAGCTGGCCTTGAACTCTTCTCCTTCAGCCTCCCAAGCAGCTTTATCACCTGCCAGAGATAGTCTTTGTGTTGTACCAGAAATGAATTTTTTTATCCAAACCTTGCCTGATACTGAGATTCAGATTGTGTAAACTAGAAGAGGTCATTTAACCAGTAGGTGTCAAATGGAGCTAGTCTCACCCCAGATTCAAAGTAGCAGGATCTCCAGGAGGGAGAAATCTTGAGTTCAAACTCAATTTTACAGGTGACCCACAGATAGAAAATAAACAGCCTGCCCCAAGGCACAAAGAGGATGGTGGTGAATTTGAGTGGGGGGTCAGACTCCAAAATCTGGTGGCTCTCCTAGGTCACAAATTTCAGTGTCGTACCTTGCATATAACAGGTGCTCAATTAAGTATCTGTTGACCTAGCCTTAGATTTTCTAACAGAATAAAAGAAAGAATATGAGTTTTGGCACTGGGCAGATGCTAGTGTGGAAGACCACTGGCAAGCTTCTCTTTAAAGAAAAAATAGGGTTTATTACCTCACAGGGTTGTTAGCAGAAATTAAATGACATATACTAAGTAAAATCTCTAATCCAATGCCCAGCACCCAAAAGTTACTGAATAAAATGGTCATGGTTATCAGTGAGAGGGAAGCAGAATAGGGTGACAAGAACACAGATTCTAGTTTTAATCTTCGGCATGCAGAAAGTCAGTTCTTCCAGTACTGTTTATTAAAGAGGCTATCTTTCTTCTGGTGAGCAAGTTTGGCCCCTCTGACAAAGATAAGGTGGCAGAGTATGTTTGAGGTTGTTTCTGCATCATCTTCTAGTCTGTTCCATTGATCCTCAGGTCCGGATTTGCTTTGGGCTTTTGTTTTTGTAGGTACCATGTTGTTTTTAACACAGCTCTCTGTAGTATAATTTCAAGTCAGGAATTGTGGTGCCCCTTACCCTGCCTTTGTTGCCCAGCACTGTTTTTGCTATTCTAGGTCCATTCTGGTTCGAAATGTATTCTAGGAATGAAATTACATTAAATCTGCACATGAATTTTAGAATTATGGCCATTTTCAGTATGTTGGTTCTTTCTACCCAAGAGTGAGGGATCTCTTTTTCCATCTTCTGATATCCTCTTCGATCTCCTTTTCAGAGTAATGTAATTTTCAATGTGTATAGGTCCTTTATTTCTTTGTTAGACTGATTTCTAACAATTTCACTTTTCATGCTATTGTGAGAGGTGTTGTTTCCCTAATTTCTTTCCCAGTGAGTTTGTTATTTGTGTACAGAAATGCTGTTTCTTACCATGCACTAAGCTAAAATCAAAATGAATCAAAGATCTAAATGTTAAAACAGAAATACTGAATCTTCTGGGAGAGAAGAGGTAGAACTCTTGAGGACACTGGGGTAGGCAATGACTTCATGAACAAAACCCAAACTGCATGGAAAATAGTACAAAAAATCAACAACTGGGATCTCATCCTACTAAGAAGTTTTTGTACCACAAAAGAAATCAACAGAGTGACTGAGACAAACCACAGAGTGGGAAAAAAATTTAGCCAGTAGTCTCAGATGAAGGACTACTATCTGGAACATACAAATAATTGAAAACCATCAGACCCCCTAAATTTAAAGACCCAATACAAAAATGGGTATCTAAAATGAAGACATTTCTCAGATGAAGAAGTACAAACAGAAAATAAATATATGAAAAAATGTTTAAAATCATTGGTCATCTGGGAGATGCAAATTAAAATGCTGAGATACCATCTCACTCCAAAAAGAATGGCTAATATCATGAAATCAACCAACAACAAATGCTGGTGGGGCTGTGGGGGAAAAGGAACCCTACTCCACTGTTGTTGGGAGTGCAGACTGGTGCAACCACTGTGGAAATCAATGAGGAGATACCTCAAAGAACTAGGACTAGAGCTCCCATTTGACCCAGCTATTCCTCTGCTGGGTATCTTCCCAAAGGAATTAAAAGCATCATACATAATGATATATGGGCACCCATGTTTATAGCAACACAGTTTTTAATAGCTAAATCTTGGAAACATCTCAAATGCCCATCAACCAATGAATGGATAAAAAAGATGCTTTTTAAAAAATATAAAATGGAGTACTACTCAGCCATAAAGAAAGATAAACTCAAGATATTTATACTTAAATGGGTGCAACTTGAGACTATATATTTAAGTGAAATAAATCTGACATGTATGTGTAAATATCACTTTATCTCTATGGTGTGAGCAATTTAAAGGGTAAAGAAGGACCAAAATGCATAACAAATACTATGAAAAAGCAAGAAACTGTTCAAAATGAGAGGGAAAACTATGAAGGGGGAGGAGACAAAAAGTATGGTAAAAGAGAAAATAATGGATACAAAACTTTTGTAAATAGAGGGGAGGGGTTGGGAGAAAAAGGAATCAAAATATACCATGTACAGGTACAAATTCCCTTTGATGAATGTGACTGTTATGTATATTTTAATTGTACCAATAATTTTAAAAAAACATAGATTCTATAACCAGGCTAGACCCAGAACTTACTGTGTGATGCTGGAAAGTTATTTTTCCTGTTTTGTTATTGGCAGGATGCAATAATTCAATATACATAAAGCATTAAGAATGACAGGCACAAAAAAATGAGCATGATGTGTTAGCTCTGAGTATTACATTCCATCGCTTGTACTGTCCCTAAGCACAACACCACAAGCATTTGGAAAAGTCAGAGAGAGAAAGGGAAAAAAATTCCCTGTCACAGAAAGATGACACAGGTGTAGTCAGTAAAAACAGTCCAGTGAAGCTGTGGAAAACCTTCCCATCAAACTTGTCAGGCTCCTTTGAATTGCTGCACTCTTTCTTCCTCACTGTACTGATTATGTGCTACAGGTGTCTGAACTGTATCCTGAGATGTGTGAATTGTGTGGGCAGGGATGCTGTACCTTTCCCACCTCAGATATAAGGCTGGGCACCAAGGAAATGCCCTGACAATGTACTGAGGGAGAGACAAGAACAAGGTGTCATTCCTGGACTCCATACCTCCATACCACCATACCGCAACACCCCCACCCACGCCCCCACACAAATAATGCCAAGAAAAGCAACTGCCAAGATAAATCACTTTTATCTCTATAGGAAAGGGAGAATCTAAAAAAAATATAAATTACATTAGTAACACAAGAAAAAAAACGGGGGAAAAAAACAACAGAGAAGTCTGGATGATGCTACTCTAACCTATTTATAAAAAGGCCCTGCATCAGAAAGTCACAATCCTACCCACTTCTAAAAATATATTTAGACATGTACAGAAGCGGTGGGTTTGTTTTTAAATTGTTTGCTTTCTTGTAAAAATATATTAAGGGTGAATAGAAATCCTTTCTCCCTGCCCCCTATCCTTCTCCCAGCTCTCTGCTGGAGACTGAAGATCAGAGGTAACTAACTCAACATGTTCTAAACCTTGGTTACTATCATTTCAAACCCCTCCCCAACTCACTTCACTTAGAACCTGAAACATTTAAAAATCAAAACAGAAACAAACACACTAGCCTCTTTGGAAAAGCATAATGCTGAGGGTAAACTTGCTTTTCATTGGAAACGTGAACAAAAACAACAAACAGGAGGTTCCAAGAACCTAACTAAACTAAATGAACCCAGGCAAACAAGAGGCTGGGTTTCATCTCCACAGAAACTTCTAACAGAGAAACAGAGGGGAAAAGAGGCCCAGAATCAGGTGTTTCTGTTAGCAATTAGCTGCCTTTGAAAGATCAAGAGGGGTTGTTAATGGGCAAAAGGGCTGAGGACCTGGTCTTCGTGACAGCAGTCAGTGTCTAGTGAGGCAGTTGCCTACAGAGGAACAGAGGCTTCTCCTGCCCTTCCCTCACTACCCTCTGCTGCCTTGAAATCCCCAAGATAAGCAAAGCAGGGTAGAACTGGAGGGAAGGAAAGTAGGGACCTCATATACTAGCGGGGGAGGTAGCAAGGCTATTTGCCTTTGGTGTGACTAGATGGTGGACTGCTTGGCACCTGGGGTCCCCAAGGTAAAAAAAAAAATGGTCTAAGGGACTCCTGATTCCAAGGAAAGACAGTAGAGGTGGGACTATGGAGAAAGATAAACCACAGACACAAAGAAGTCAAAGAAGTCTCATAAATTCCCTGTGGTTTGGATGGTTGCTGTAAAATTTACCCAGAAGCACTAGGCAAGCTGGGGTGAGGTTGGAGAAGAGGATAGAGAACAATGATGCATGCCATTTTGGCAGTGCCAAAATGAGTTGGGGTGGGACACGTTCTCCACAAGCCCAGATTGCCAGTGAGGCAAGACAAGAGGGAGGAGGGGGGCACTGTCTGGACAATGGAGATAACCTACAAAGGAAAGAGGAGTAGGGTGAATCAGTTGGTCTGCTCCTTCATAAATGGCATCTCTTCTAGGCTTGGGCTCGTGCATGGTCATCTGCATTCTACCTGAACAACGATCTGGAGTCTGGAATACAAAGGCCCAGGACTAAAGATGTGAATCCTGAGGTCTTCTTCAGACCCAGACCTCAGTTGAGGAAAGAAGCATGGAGGTTTCTTGACAGGAGGACCTAGGGAGTAGGCCGTTCTACCACACACTCTCCAAAAGGTCCAATCTCTGTTCCATGGTACAGATAAAGGAAGCAGGCTGCGGAGCCAGGGTGATTTCAGTGGCACATGACTTCAGGTTTTTAGGAAATAATTTTTCACCTGCTGGATGCCAGTAACAGCCACATAGATAATGCTATGCAGGACCTCAAAATCCAGGCAAATCCCTGGAGTTCACTCTGGGACAGGGGCTTCATGTGTAGCCAGCCAAAAGTAGCTTCCTCCAATGGGCTAAAAAAAAAGTTATAGTTAAAGGAATGGATATCTATCCTCTCCTCACCTCAAAAAGTGGCAGGAATCTTCTTTCTTTCCAAGGATAAATGAAGTCAGCCTTTCTAAGCCACCTCCAGAAATGGCCCACGGTGGGGAAGAAAGGAAACTCCAGGCCCTCTCTTTTTCCATGAACTATTATTTGGCAAGAGGGGGCAGAGACCATAGCCTTCTTCCAGGAACAAATCTCGAGGTGGGGCATATCCACTGGACTGGAGGTAGAAGGGGAGGGAAGAATAGGTGGAAGTGGGCAGGCTTCTAGAGACAGGGCTGGAGTTGTAGAAAGTATTGAGCACTGGACCTCACACTTCATGGCCAGAGAAATGAGAAGCCCATACTATCTTCTTGCCTTTCCTCATCCTGCCTTTGGGGTGGTGGGGTGGTGGACAGTAAAGGACAGACAAGGCAGGGAAGAGAAAAATGGATTAGAGGAACAAAAAAAAAAATGAGCTGTTATAAGTTGGAAACTGCTCCCATTTACATGCTACTTGGGTAGGGAAAAGGAAGGGAGGATGCTCATAGCAGGTGTGGGAAAAGGAATTGAGGAAGTCGGTGGAGGAGCCCGTGCCTTTGGTCAGTCCCAAGAAAGCAGGACAATGCGCCTCAGCACCTTGTCTGGGGCAGACAGGATCCAGGAGTGCCCCGAGAGTTGACAATGGAGAAGGCAATGGGGGTGAAGGGTGAGAGCTGGAACACACGGGGGCTCAGCTCACAAAAGTAGTTTGCCATTTCTGTGGATTTTCAGGATACGGCCAAGTCTCTGCTTCGCTGTGGCCAGGCCCTTTTTGGGACGCTTTCCTGTAAGGAAAAGTAAACAAAGAGTATGGCAAGGGTTTAGTATCAACTCCAGCACCAACTGTTCTGAGACCATCTTTCCTCCCGTTTCTCTCCCCACAAAGTTTCTTTATCCTTAGACTATATTGGGTAAGAAGCCCCCTTAACTATTTCCATCCAATGTCACATGCTTTGGCTTTTCTTCCTCTGATTTCCTGTGGCAATTGTAGACTTCCTGGTTATAGTTTGTCTAGTTGTTTTCTCCAATAATTTATTTGGTCCCAATCATTTTCCTTCCAAAATTATACAGGGAAGACTAAGTGCTTCCTAATCATGGCTATCAAGATTAGATAGGTACTCTCTTAGTGATTATAGCCCAGTGCCCTTCATACTTCAACCCCCTGGGCCGTGTTTCATAAGAAACCCTCATATTCACCAACCCCCAACATCATGGCAACATCAGCACCCTTGAACTATGTACTCTACAGACTGTGCTTTAAGGGACAAACTGGGGGAAAGCAGGGCTTTGCTTGAGACCCCTAATTCTCCCTTGCCTCTTTTCTTTCTCCCATCAAAGCACTTCCCGTGACCTATTGAACTGTCTCCATATTTGATCACCTCACTTCCTCCCTCTCCATTAACTCTGCCAGAACTCCAGCATTACTTCATTCCTGTCTGTATCTATGTGTGTGCCTCCTTTCTAGATTTCTCACCTCCAACCAGGCCACCCTCCACTCTGGCCATCAGAGCATTTTTTAAAACCTAAACTTAATCTTACTTCTACTTAAAAATCAGTCACTGTCTCCATGCCCAGGAGATCAAGTCCAAGGACCTCAGGGTGACCTTCAATGTCCCATCCCTAGTGTTCTCATCTACTAAAGCACTTAGATAAGGTGACCCTAAGATCTTTCATTTCTACCATAATATGTCCATTATACCTTGTCCTGTCTGATTACTCTGAGAGCCAACAGAAGGGCGCCTCTGGGTCAAAAAGACACCAGGAGCCATGGGTGTGGTGCTGCGGTTTGCTTGGGCCATTCCAAAGGTATTAGGTCGAGCAGTATACTCATGGTCAGCAAGACTTCCTGACAGAGTGTCTTGTTTAGGCTCAGGAGGAGGCAAAGGTGAGGAGGAAGTGGGAGGGTGGAGCGTAGCAGCCACTCCCGGGGCCGGAACTGTCACACTGAGATGGGAGTCTTGAGGGCGAGGCTGTTCTACCTCCTTCAGCAAAGGCTTCTTCTTGATGTATTTTTTCTTTTGGGCCTTCTGCAGCTCCTGAAACACAAGCCATAGCAAGAGTAGATTTAGGAGTGAAGAAAAGACAACTTCCCCAAAAAAGAACAAGATAATGGTCAATACAAGTTCTACAACCTGTCACTCCCCTCCCCAACCCCAGCAAGTCTAGCTGGGATATACATATAACAGACAAAGCTTCCAATACCTGAGATGATCTCTTTGGTACCACTCATCCTTAATTCATCACTGTCACTTATCAATACAGAGGCAAGAGATCTGTAAATGAGTTTGGAAACTTTAGTTTTGGTCTTAGCATGGCCACTGATGAGGCGGACCAGGGACACTTCTAATAAGAACTAAATTTACATCTACAGCTGAGGCACTTTATAAGTATTATCTTATTAATCCTCATAATAGCCCTAAGAAAAATCTTTTTACAAAAAAAAGGTGCAATTTGACCTGAAAGCCTCACAGATGAAAAGCAGTTGGATCATGTTATTTTAACAAGGGCTATCTGAAGACACACCCTGCAAACTTCTCAAAATGAAACATCCGAGTATTAGCTTTGTTGATAAACTTGAGTTGAAATCAAGGATTGTGCTCCCTGAATTGAACAACTTTGGTCTCAGATGGCTCATTTACTTTTCATGGTTGTTAGATTAAATAAATGATGTAAAAATACATAGCACATAGTAGGAACTCAACAAATGGTAAATTATTATTTTATCTTTACTTCTTACAATGGTTTTTCTTCCTTTTAACAGTCTTTTTTGTTGTGTCACAGAACTTGATAATCTTTTAGGTCACCAGTTCTAAAAACCTCAATTATGGATGAGAGGAACAAGTCACTTCTCCCAATATTTTGGATTTCATCCATTCATTGCTCTGTGGATCTACTATCCATTATATACTGGGTACCTGTATAGTGGGCATCTGGAGCCCTGAGAACCTGGAAAGGTAGTGCTGAGAGCATGTGAATGACTTCACCTTCTGAAATGCTACAGTCACACAGACCAATTCAGTGATTATATTTCTTTTCCTTGTCTTAGCAACATGAGCCTAGTCCTGCCTTCAGAGGATCTGACAGGCTGTAGCTACCATAGCAATTTCTGAGGGACAAGAATAATAACATTAGTAATACATGCCAGACACTGTTACATAATTACTCATTAATACTTAAATTTGAGAAATACTTAAAATCCCATTTTAAGGACGAAGAATCTGTGGCAAAGATTCTTTTCACAAGGTTACAAGATCATAAGTGGCTAAGCTGGGATTCAGACCCAAGCCATTTGGCTTCTGTATCTTTTCTCAGCCACACTACTGTTCACTCATACCAGGAATGTCATTTCTGTCCCCTTTTCTCTCATTTGACTTTAGAAATTATCTTTTCATATCTAGATTACACAGCTTAATTTCTTCTACCTTTGCTCCAATTTCTTTCACATATAGTTTATCCAGATATTTGTATAGATGGCTAGACTTTATTGTAACAGGACCACTTATACCTACCAATTTCCTTGTTCAAAAAGCTATTAGTCGGTCTCCACACAAGTTCACACTCCCTGACCTGACATTCATGGTTTTCAATTGTCTAGGCACTTATACCTACCCAATCCATAATGATAATGATGGAAAGCTAATATGTTTACACTATTCTGTACAAAGTACTTCTAAGAGAGTGTGCATGTGCATACACATACATGCATACAGAGTGCCAAAAAAATGTACACACACTTCAGCAGTCTTCCATACTAATAAATGTCTGGAAGTCAATGGCCATCACTTTGAGTACCTCTTGTAATTGTAGAGGCCAAAGGTAACTTGTATTAATCTCATGATGTATCAATAAATTTAGTATTAAAATATATACACAAGTTTTTTTTCCTTATGTATACATTTATATATATATCCTTAATAAGTAATTTGTCCAAGCAGTAGAGCTAGAATTCAAAACCAGGAAGATGTCTTCACTCATTCATTTATTCCAATACTGAATAAACACACTATGTACCATATTATCATTCTTCAAACATTTATAGTTTAATAAAAGGACACAAAAAGTAAACTTATGATTATAAATATCATGAAAGAATGTTATGGAAGGACAGAGGAAGTCCACTGAAATAAAGTGCTGGTGGGTGGTATGAAGAGATATTAGGCAAGGTTTATGAAAGGGCACAATTTGCAAAGAACAGAACAGCTTGTGCAAAAACACAAAGAAATGAGAAAATGTGACACATGGGGTGAGCCAGCAGTACTGTAGTAAAGTATGGGTGGTGTAAAGGGTGTACATGAAGGCTGGTCAGCAAAGAGAGATGACTTAAGAAACCAAATCAAGAAGGCCTTGTGTGCTGAATTAAAGATTTTCCTTTTCCTGGAATGCTTCTCAGTCCTCAACCAAAAGCTTAGCCTACAAAAACCCACCCCAATTTTAAAACCTCTTCCTCGTGGTAATCCCTGATCAATTCAAATAGAAGTTACTCTTTAGAAGGTACTGAAAGTAGTTTTCACACCTTTAATTAGCTTATCTGTTTATTTAAGGCAATAAAATCCTTTTGTTCAAATTACATCTTTCATGGGATATACATGACAGAGAAACTTCTGATCAAAGAAAGGCCATCTGGCCTTCTTAGTCTCCAGTGGTTTGCAATAATAGCTTCTGGATATTTCCAAGAAACTCCACAGTTCCACATAACATCAAATGAAAAACATTGTTCTATTTAAATAGGATATAATCACTAAAAATATATAAAACATTTTACTATTTCAGTTTATTTAAATATTTATTAAGTAATGTGAAATTTGAAGTTAAGAGGATGTAACTTTGATTCTTGTCACCTCCATTTACTGGCTGTCTTATCCTGGACTAGTCACTTAAAAGTGAGTCTCATTTTCTTCACCTGTAAAATGATGAAAACATCACCTATTGAACAAGGATACTGGGCATATTACATTAGACATTGTACATGGAAGTTATCTAACACAATTCAGGTGCTCAATAACATTCTATACCACTGACGGCAAATCTTTTAGAGATTTCAGTGATAACAAACTGCCAGCTGAGCCACCACTGCTCTATACTGTAAAATCTAAGGTATGAAGACCTAAGGGAATATTGATGAGGAAAGAACCAGAAGATTCACCTGTAAATGTCCCTAGGGTTTCTGACTACATTGCATATGCTAAGTAACTTTCTAAATTATAATGACAAGAGGTAAAATTAAATTTAGGACAAAAAAACTGGGTGATGATTTCTTGACAAGGGGTGAAGATCAAGGTAAGCCTTCATAAAGAGGAAAAGAAAAGCCTCTTTTATTAGGAAAATAGGTCAATTTCTAATACTGATGTGTGCCTGAGAGCTTACAAATACTCAGCTGAGTAACCTCCTTGGGACTTCATTTGAAAGCAAAGGACTGATTTGATCCTTCCCATTTGAGGGATTTTCAAATACCCACAAAGGCAAGTGATATCAGTGAAGGACTTTTTTTTCTGGCCCCATTGCTTTGTTCATCCTAAATCATGTCAACTATGTAACCTACGGTAGCAGTTTGGCAGAGAGTTGGGATGTAAAAGATATAGGGATAGGATACTGCCAAAGATTCAGATAAAAGGTTATCCACTCCTCATTGCCACAATAATGGGATCTAATCAACCTGAAGGTCTGAGTAGCAAGGCTCTTTGTCAAACAGAGATCAGTAACAGCCCTACTGTTTATGTGTTGAATATTTTACCTGCTGGGCCAGCTTGGCAGCTGCTGCAGCCAAGCCTGTTTCAATGGAGGCCACTCGGGTCCCCTCACGCACAGGACGGTCTTGCTTGGGTAGAGTTGGAGTCACACGGGCTGTAAGGAAAACAGGAGGAGTTGTCACTCTTTAAGACATTTATCTGCAGGCCAACTATATTCTTGACTTGCAACTTCCCCAAAGGTGGTTCTCATTGGTCTTCCTACTTCTAGTTATTCACAAAGCCAGATTTTGCTTCCCAGAAGATAAAAAGTTAAAGCACACATGATTAAAGCATAAAAAAATAAACATATTGGGTCAGGGATTTAGCTCAGTGATGCCCACCTGCCTGGGTCCTGAGTTCAATTCCTGGTACCAAGAATAAAAAAGCCAAAAAATAAACATACCTGAGCTGGCATTTAAGGTTGTCCATGTTTTTTGCTTCTGGCATACCTACCTCCCTAGCCTTATTTCCACATCCAGTGTTAATGGTTTAGTGTCCTCTCAAAAACTCATGTGGAAATTTGTCATTCAGTGGCATTAGGAAGTAACACACTCCCCTCATCAGTGGATTACAGATGTTCCTGTGGGAGTGGGTAGTTATACATGGAGGATTTTAGCTTGTCTTCTATCATGTAATACCTTCTGCCATGGGATGATGCCACACAAAACCCTCCCCAGATGCTGGTACCTTGCTAGGACTTCCCAACTTCAAGAACCATGAACTACATAAACATCTATTATTTTGAATATACCTAGTTTGTGATATTATATTATAGCAATAGAAAATAGGTTAAGGCACTCATATTCTCAGCTTCTGCAGACAAATGGCTTCATTACACCTTCAGAGTATGTGCAGCTCTTCCTCTCTCCATGCGCATTTAGCCTTATCTTCTGTAATGAATGTCACAGTGATGGTAAACCATTTAGAGCTTTCAATGATAAAAACAGCCAACTGAGGCAGGCATGCCATAGGCTCACCACTGGTCTAGAGTATATTCTTACCTTTTGTTTGCCTATTCAAAACCTGCCCGTCCTTTAAAGATATGCTGAAAGCAATCTTGCTTGCAAAAACCCTTAGGACCCCTCTAGTCCCACTGACCTTTCTTTCCTTTGAACTTTCCTTTGAACTTATGATGTGTACAAGTCACTTAATAAACAGAACAATGTATACCATCATGCCCATTAATGCTGACGTGTGTTTTGTCTACCAACCAGGCTATGAGTTCCTGAAGAACACCTTCTTCTTTAGTTCTTTTATAGTGCCTTAACAACATTAAATCGAAATCAAAAAGTGGTTGCTTATTCCACCTTTTCAATAGGAAGTGTATGTATGTATATATATTTCAGGATAAGCAAATAGTCCCAGGTGATGAGGGACAGCTCTTCTTTACAGAAGAATGCCAACTAATGAATGAAGACTGACAGAATTAGAAACTCACAAGTTTGTGAGCCCTAATGAAATTGTTTATATAGAACTAGATATTTATATAGAACCAACGTACTGCATTATTTCACAAAGTACTTGCTAGTTTTAAGAGCAAAACCTAACTTCACAATGGCAAGATCGGGAGATCATCTTACCTTAATATACCTAAGTAGTAATTTTAGTAACACTAATAATGACAGCATGACATCATGTGCCTCTTGATGTGATGCAATAGAAAATTCAGTCTCACCTGTGAAGTTGTTAAAGCGCTAAAATCAGGCAAATCATTCACATTACTTCCAGTATTTAGGAAACACAAGAATAGAACAACAAGTTAAATGATACCACAAGAAAGCAAGCAAAAATTATACAATAAAACTGCCTAATATCTTAAAATGGAATTGTTCTAGATTAAGACAGACTTTAAATGGCATGACAGTCAAATGCCATGCAGATCTTGTTTAGATCCAGATTAAAACAAACCCATTGTAAAAATACCTTTTGTAGTTCAACAAATTGGGAAATTAGATTAAGGTCTTGGAAATAGATAACATGAAAGAATTATTAGATAATCATGAATTTTCTTATTTATGACAAAAAGATGTTTATATGAGAAACGCCACAATTTTTAGAAAAGCATACTGAAATACATCAGGGAAAGCAATGAAAAGAAAGTGCTAAAGGGCTAAAGGTGTAGGGCAAGTGGGAAGGGTAGGGGAAAGGTAATAAGGGAAAATAAAAAAACATGAGAAAATGAAAAAATGGAAATAAAGTGTTTGTAAACAGGGAGGGGAGGAGGGGGTGAAGGGAGGGAAGGGACAAGGGGAAAAAATGAGAACCAAGAACTGTCGTGTAAGGGTACAAGATCCCAATAATGAATGTAACTGTACTGTATACCTAAAATGTACCAATAAACTCAATTTTAAAAAGTGATAGATGAATGAAATATGACAAAATCTTGATAACAGCTCATTTTCACTGCTGGGTATACTGGAGTGCAAGCTAATGTTACACATACACACAAAACCATGTGTAGTGGTTCCAACCTAGTTTTTAATGCTCCTTGGTTGGTTATTATTATTATGAGGGACAATTTCTGGATAAGCAATATGCAGAGTTTAGATCAGGCTAAAGTTTTTCTTTTAAAATAACATTTTGTAAAAAAATTTTTTTAAAAATCACATTTTGTTTGAAACTTGATCTTAAGCAAATCTAACAAAAATGTTAACGTATAATTTTGGGTCATTGTTACTTTAGTATCTTTTACATTGGTCCGTGTAACTTTGTATATGTGATAGTTTAAAAATAGTCCCTCAAATTCCTTGGAGCCTTTCCTATTGAAGAGTCTGTCCAGCACTGAATTTGAGCATGCTCATTTGTAACCTATAGACCAGTAATTGTGAACCTCTTAGAGACGAAAGCCCTAACTGTAACCCAAAACTCAGTTATTTATCACAAAGTGGCAACACAGCAATTAAATCAGAATGCTGGGGTTTTAGTTTTGAAAAAACAACTTATACACTAACATCTTTTATCTTAAAAGAAAAATAACATGCAGGCCGTAGAGTACAGCAGAAGTGACACTGTGTGACTACTAAGGCTAGCTCAGGAAGAGCAATATCAGTTCCCACATGATTTGCTGAAACACTAATGCTTGGAGACCTGAGCTGATATGTAAGAAGTATGATTACCTTGAAGCCACCTGGAAGCAAGGAAGTTAGTCACATGGAGAGGTCACATGCTGGTACATTTAGCCTTTGAGTCCTCCCAAGCCAGGCACTAAACATATAAATGAGACTTCAAATGAATGAAACTCTTAGCCACCAGGTTACCCACAGCCTTGAAAATCTGTCTAGCTGAGACCCCAAACATCATGGAGTAGAGATAAACTGTCCCCACTGTGCCCTTTCTAAATTCCTGGCCCACGAAATACATGACCACGAGAAAATGGTGGCTGTTTTAAAGTGGGAAAAAACTCAATCTATACAAGACATTTTGAAGGAACAATTAGAAAACTCTGGCCGGGGATTTAGCTTAGTGGTTCTGGTGACTGCCTCACAAGCACAAGGTCGTGAGTTCGATCTCCAGTACAAAAAAAAAGAAAGAAAACTCTGATTACAAATTGGATATTAGAGGACATTAGGAAATTATTATTTACTTGTGTCTATAGTTTTTTTGTGGGGGGATACGGGGGATTGAACCCAGAGCCTTGAACATTCTAAGAAACTGCTCTACCACTGAGTTACATTTCAAACTCTATTTTTAGTTTACTTTGAGACAGGAGCTCACTAACTTGCCCAGGTGCACCTTAAATTTGTAATTCTCCTGCCGTAGCCTCTCAAGTAGCTAGAATTTCAGGTGTGTACTCTCACACCTGGCATTAAATTTGTTAAGCAGTCACACCGGGAGGTATCCTTATTCTTAGAAGATACTTACATTTGAAGGGATAAAATGATAGTTGTATGTTACATTGAAGCATCTCAGGAAAAACTATAGATATCTATCAGATATAGATAATGGACCTATAACAAAATGTTGCAACTGTAGAATCTAGGCATTGATAATATGGTATTTATGTAATATCCTTCTACTTTTAAGAACTGTTATAATAATAAAAATTAAAATATTGACTATGATATCATAATTAAATGTAATGTGTAGTCCTTGCATGGGTTCTGGTAAAAATAAGACAGTTATAAAAGATATTTTGGTACAACTGGGGAAAATGTGAATGAGAACTTAGTACTAGATGACATTTAAAATGTTACCTTATGGGCCGGGGATTTAGCTCAGTGGTGCCACCGCCTGCCTCACAAGCGCAAGGTTCCGAGTTCAATCACCAATTACTGGCCCCACCCCCAAGTTACTTTGCTTAGCTGTCATTAACAGCAAGGAAAATGAAACAAACAAAAAGTGAATGCTAGAGTTGTAAATTCTCTGGCTGAGTATTGAAGGTATGCTCTAACATACACACAGGGGCTTTGAGAAAGTAATGAGTCATTAGTTTGGGGCATTTAAAGAAATCTGCCAAATTCAGATTACT